TAGTAGTCATTAAATTGTACCTTTCACACGGGAAATGAACACGCGCCCACATTTGGACACCAGCTCGTTGGAGGTATCCATGTAGGTTTTGATCAGACGCTTCAATCTCATTGAACGCCTCATTAAAATCACTCATCCTAAAACACCTTGCCGCTTTTTTCACCAAAGGGAACAAATGTTTTCCTTTGAATTTCACCAAAATGTTCTTATACAAATGGTAAGTACAAATTCCACGAGAAGCCAACGGATACACTTCACCAATTGCTTTTCCTATTGACTTTTGTCTGTCCGAGATTATCGCAAGATCCTTATCGTCAGGGATAACAACTTTGAGTTGCGTAAAAAACCAATGCCAAGAATCATCATTTTCGGTGTCAACAATACCGAAAGCTATTGGATAAATCTGAAAATTACCATCCTGAGCTAGGGCTGTTAGAAGGGTCCCTTTGTAACTTCCATGGAGAAACGTACCGTCGACAACAACAACTTTGCGCATGAAAGGAAACCCAGCAATACTGGCACCAAAAGCAATGAACACATAGTTGAATCTTCCTTCCTCATCAAGTTGAAGACGCGTGACTGTACCCGGATTTGCCCGTCTTATCATGTATAGGTAAGAAGGCAGTTCTTCAAAACTACTCTCAGGATTTCCCTGATCGATCTGCCTTGCATACAGGAGCGTCCTATGTGACTTCCAATAACCCATCTGTTGACACCAACATATTGTAACTATACGTCAGCCGTAATATATATAACTCAGCCACAATGTAAACATAAGTCAGCCGTAATATATATAAGTCAGCCATATTATATCTATAACTCAGTCGTAAACTAGATGTCAGCCGGAATGTATTGATAAATCAGCCGAGATGAGAAAAAGTCAGCCGTATAGTAATCAATAGGTCAGCCGCCACACAGTAATTACCTTTATTCTAAAATGCTTATTGATAATTACTCCGACTGATTTAGGTTTAACATCCGGACCAACGTCACCAAGAAAGTCCCTGTAAAGAACTCCCAAAACATCAGGTGTTGCTTGTCGGGATCAATTAGAACGGTCCGTCACAGAACATGTGTGTTCCGAATCGTATATACGAACATAAAAATGTGGCTCATCCCCTTGTGTAGATGCACGAACTCTCCATCGACATTCATCAACCCAATAAACAATATTCACTGCGGTCGGATTTGATACTGGTACATTAAAATCAAATCCATCCCTTACCGCAAGAAGTTTGAGTCGATACACCAAATCTTCTTTGCTCCGGTATCATTGACCTACAGCGAGGTTTAGCGAAGACAACTCCAACCTTAAAGCCTCCGAGTTCCCAGCCGATCCGGCCATTTCATTGTTATGAGGTTTCTTCTTAGGAGGCAGAGACGGTGAATCTTCGTCTTTATTCTGAGGATCGCCGTATACAGTAAAGTTATCATCATCAGACGAGGCACCATCGGAGTCGTCGAAAACATCAAATCGGCTTGAAAATTCATCATCTTCTTCTTCGTCATCTGCTTCTTGGTCACATGCTTCTTGGTCACCTGCTTCTTCGTCTTGATTTTCACTATAATCATAACAGAAACCTTCAAATCCACCATCGGGAACTTCGTATCTAGATTCTAATTTTGAGCCAGAACTGGATGGCCGTTTCATCCTTCCTCTCGATCCGTCCTTCCGACTAATTTCCATATACTCTTTCATCGTAAATTCCACACATAGACGTAGTTGATCGATTTTCCGTAGGCTTAGAAAACATTGCAACTGTCGATCATTGGAGACATAAACTGGTGGAGTATCAAGCGACATATTTTTCATAGCTTTCTTCGAGAACATGTAGCTCAGCTTTAACTGATGGCTCAACTCATTCAATCCGTAGTCATAGAGCACCAACTTCACAAGCTTGTCGTGCGTTGTTTCCGCATCTATCTGCACAACTCTACACCCTTAATCGTCGGTGTTAAATACGTATTTGTGTTTCTTTACCCAATTACCGGAAACAACCATTACCGAAACCGGATCAGTCATATCGGGATAAGGAAGAACGAAAATGAAGAAGTAAGACGATGACGAGTCGAGTAAAATTTAAGTTCCAAAGATGTTAAAAAACACAGGTGAAGATCGACACAACGAAGAAGAAGATGAGTAGTAGAAAAGACCTTTCGTATTTCCCTTGATGATGATGACATGGAATGATGACATGGAATGTTGCATCCGACGTCATTTTTTTAATTGATGAAGTGGCAAGTAAGCCACCAAACGAAAATGTTTATCAACCGAATTAAACCAGCCATCAAACAAAACTTTAACTCAGTCGCAACATGCATACTATTACAGTAATTAAAAATAAAAAAAAATGCAGCCAAATTCAGCCGTTTAATGTCGTAGCTCAACCGAAAATCTTTAACTCAGCCGTATCGTTTGATAAGTCGGCCGTAATTGCATGCTATTCTAGTAATTAATCTTTCGCTACTAAGACGTCGTAATTGGGCCGAGTTTTCCATTAACTCAGCTCATTACGGCTGATTTATGACACTAGAGGCTAAATCAGCCGTAACGACATCACATAACTAGGCCTTCTTTGATAACTCTGCCAACCGGAAAAAGTTAAATCAGCTGTGTCGAAGCAATAACTCAGCCAAAATTTTGACAAATCAACCAACAGGTGAAATCTCAGCCGTAACTTAGGATGGGTTATGCTCGAAAGGCAGCCATTTTCTCATAACTCAGACCAACTTCATTAACTCAGCCGAGTTATACTCGTAAGTCAGCCGTTTGCTCATAACTCAGTCATTTTCCATAAATCAGCCGCTTCTAACCGTAACTCAGCCGTCACTGCCGCTGTATCGCTTTACGGCTTAGTTCATTAATACACGTCAGCGATTTCTGACGTGGCGACGCGGCTTTGCTGACATGGCAGTGGCATTCTTTGTAATTACGTTTTTTCCTGTAACGTTTAACAGGGGCACGCTGGGTATAAAAAATATACCCGAAATATGATAGTAATAAAAAAAAGATCTGTATGTATCCGGTAATTTCATATAAAATGTTATACATCTGAGTAAAGTTCCCTTGAAAGTAAATATCGCAATGAAGCTTTGCAATCTTGAAAAGATAATGCGAAATAATTCTTTGACACTGCGGAACATCTCCTTGTACACATAATATTCTATTATTTGGGAAGTACATATAAGTTGTAACATTGAGAAATATAACAAATTACATTAGAGTGCCATTAGAAAAATATAATCATAGACAAAATTAATCAACGTCATTAAAGCAATGACCTACTTCTTAATCTCGCGGGTCAATGGATCATTAAACGGGTTTTCAAATATTACCTAAACAATAATATCAATTAAGTAATTATTGAGACAGATTTCTAAATCAATAAGAACAAATATTCGGTAAAATCTTAACCTAATATATTAACCATAACTAATCACTGCCACAATTACATCCACATTCAATTCGATTTCTTTAAAAGATCTCAACAATCTCTACATTTAATCGTGGCCGTTTAAATCTTAATCCAGTTTTTAATCTCCAATCTTGACCGTCAGTCATACGCAATTAGTTCGAAAATCATTATATGGAATTATTTCTTATTAACTAAATAATTATGTATACAAATCAGGTAAGTAAATGAGATCATAATCTTCTATAACTATTACCGAGATTTTAGGAAATTTAAACACTTAACAAAATTAATAAATTTCAAAATGAAATTTATTGCAGAATGTTTTTAAATTATCTTCATGGGACTTGCCATGACGGTTAGACTACTTTACATTTCTGTTTTTAAAATTAATCAAAACAATTTTTCAAAATAAAAATAAATTATAATCGATTACGTTAGTAACTATATTTTGGATTTTCCTTATCTACTATACATTTTTGCAACACTTTTTGGGGTTCTTAATCGGGTCAAATTTTGTTTAATTTTGACCCAGAAATCTTCAATCGGATCTTTCCTTATTTTTGAGAAAATTAAAAACGAAAATTAATCAATAAAATCTAAAAAATATATATTTTCTCAACTAATTACTATACCTAAACTCTTTATTTATGGCATATTCTCTACAATTTTTATAGATATAGAAATCAAATATGATTATTTAATGCTAATATAACAAATTTGAACTAATTTCCTAAAACCTCTCTACCTAATTAAAACATAAATATATGATTCTCATTTCACTTTTATATGATCTTATATTTATATTATTTTGAACTATTATAAAATATATATAATTAATAAAAAAATTCGATTTTTTCTGCATATGCTATGATTCAAATTTTTTTAAACGGACATATTACTCAATCGATGAAGAAAAAAGTATGTCTACAATCTATATTAACATTTTTGAAAAACAAATTTGCGCGTTTAATCAGGTCGTATTTTTTTTTTTACTCTGACCCGGAATTGAGTCATTCAGATATTTTCTTAATTTCTACAATTATCTAAAACGGGACAATATACCACGGTGAAATCTTAAAATTAACAAATCGAAATACAATTATTTAGTATTTTAATATACATTTTAAAAATATTTTTACGGGTTGGTCTAAAAACACACACTAATTTGAAATATATATATATATATATATATATATATTATAGAAACTATTTGAAAGCAAACTTTTAAATTGACTCGAATTATATGTCTTTTAAATAAAAGTGTTATTAAAAGAAATAACAAAATGATGTTTAATTTTACGGGACATGATTATATGGTGGGACGGGTCGGATTTGGATTGATATTAATACGGGATAATATATCACGGGTGAAATCCTGGGATTAACAAATCAAAATACAATTATACAATTTTAAACACAAAACAAAACAAATACAACTTAAAATTTTCATTTTTAGTTACAACGCATGTGACTCGCAATGTACAACAAAAAATATTATATACAACAAAATCATCAGTTTATAAAAAGACAAAAAAAATCAAATAATTAATCCGCGGTGTACCGCGGGTAACAATCTAGTCTACTATACATTTTTGCAACAGTTTTTGGGGTCCCCAATCGGGTCAAAATTTGTTTAATTTTGACCCGGAGATTTAATGATTTCGACCCGGAATTAATGACTCTCGGATCCTTCCAATTATGATTATTTTACCCGAAATATTTGACTCGGATCATTCCTTAATCAATACTCCTTACATTAAATCCAATAGACATTTACTCTCTGATTTTTTCAAGATATGGAGAGTATATGTAGTTATAGCAAATTGATTTTCGTAAGGCAAACTGTTTCCTATTTTAATGCTACATTTATCATTTGTTTCCTACATATAATTCGATATTCATTTCACTTTATCGAAAAGGAAATTGCTTCATAACCAAAAGATTTTATCGTAATCTGTTTAAGCATCAACCTAGCATATTCTCTGTATTTCCCAACTTAAAAGATTTCGAATTATACGAAATGCTTGCTCATCAAGATTTTTAAATATTCTCTCAACCCTATAACATACTAACTATCCAAACTCTATAAATAGTCGTTCATTTTCCACTCTCTAAACACATTCTTTCTCATCACCATATTGCAATATATTACAAGTTCAGAAACCTTACCAGCAACAATGGCTGCATCATCTGTTGAAGGTGTTCCACTTGTGGCGCCAATATACAAGACCTGTTGAGGGTTTTTAGTCTTAAAGTCAAGATTGAGTAAAAAGAGTGAATTGCTACTGTGGTTTGGAGTTTTAATTTGGTTTTCAGTTGCTTTGATCCATGTTCTTTTATTTTGATTACTTATTGTTGTTTTAATATTATGGTTTTTGCAATGATTTACGTGTTTGCTTCAAGTTTGGTTTTCCAGCTTTTCCAATTGGTTATTGAATAAACTGCGTGTTTACAACTTTTCAAAGTTTCTATTTTGCTTTTCTCAATAACATATGTCAATGTGAATATTTCTCCTAACACTAAGTATTCTGAAAGAACTAACCTGATGTAAACCAAGGTTTCATACTGTAAGAGCCCTCCACTGTGATCAAGATGTTGAACTTCTTCTTTCTGTTGAATGAAAAACGTGAACATTCTGTTTAGAAATAGATCTACAGGGATGTGCTTAACTTACACTTACAGTAGTGTATTGACTTTTATGATTATGACTAATGAGAGTTAGTTTAACCAAATTCCTTATTTACTTTGAATCTATGGAGGATTTCAACAACAATATGTAAAAATTGATTTGTAAGTCTCAGTATATGTAAGACTATTTGGTTAAATATATAACAGACTTGAAGAAAAATATGGTTGTTCTGATTCTTAGCTTTCTTTATATTACAAGTCATGGTTCAATCTTTACTTTCTACTCTTCAAATCACAGAAAATCGGGATAAGTATGATTGGTGGCCAAATAACCGGCAAAGAGACATGCAAGGTACTCGAGAAATCTATAATCTAATTAGAGAACAGAAGCCAATTGTTACCTGTTACCGTGAGGTTTGGTTCGCGGGTGGAATTCCTAACACAAGTTATTGACGCAATCACCGCCTCCATCGAAACAGATCCATATCGCCATATCGGCTTGGAAACTCTTGATGATTGCTTGGTAAGCCTCCATCTATTTCACAACTTCTTTGTACACTATCACCGCCTCCATCGAAACAGATACATATCAAAACCTAGCAGCAACGGCGGTACCATCGCCAATCTGAGGAGTGATTCGACGCCGTAATACTTAGCCTCATCGTGTAGCTCTTGCTTGGAGAAAACGCCGGAGGAATTAGCTCGGAGTCGACCAGTACGGAGGAGATTGAGAATGACGGCGAAAGTATCCGGGTCATGATCGATGAAAACCGGATTTGAGCCATGGGAGGTTGGAGTCGATAGAGCCGCAAGAAGAGAGTCTGGGCAACATGACTGAATTGTAGACGCGTTGGTTTCGAAGACTTCGCCGCCAACGTTAAGCTTCACTCGCTTGCCGCCATCGGAAACCACCATCACAGTCCGGTTCGAGTTTCGATTTCAGCTTGAACCGTATTTTACCAAATGGGCTATGGGAAGAAAAACGTAATTGTAATTGATGACGTGACAACTTATATGGGCCTGGACTAATCTTTATTGGTTAATTATTATCAACCCAAACAATCCTGATGGGATTTTTATACAAATTGATTTAATTAGGGTTTCAATTGAAAAAAAAAGAATCTTAGTGGAAGGTTTCATTGTTAATTACAAACGAAGAAAAAACAATCATGTTTGTGTCCAAATAAACATTGCCGAATTTGAAGAGATACGTGAGTCTCATGAGGTTTGATAGTTAACCTGTTATTTGATAGAAGCATAGCAGAGAGTTATTTGATATATTAAGAAAATGGAAAGTGGATTTTAAGATTTAGGGAAATAAATTATAGTTTTTCAATTCTCAGGTTTTATTCTTTTTTTTTCTTCCATAAGACAATAAGAGTAAACTATTTATCATTCGTTTTTCAATTCTCAGGTTTTATTCTTTTCATTATTCATATAAAAAATTTATACTATTGTAGGAGAAGTTATATGACCGGACGATGTTATAATTTATCAAAATAACATAATCATAAAAGTTTTAAAATTAGGATTTTTAACTATATGTATTTTATAATAATTCAAAATAACATCTTCCGGTCATATAAAATGAACATCCTATATTTATGTTTAAATTAGGTAGATAGATTTTAAAAAAAATTAGCCCAAATTTGTTATATTTGAACTATATCATCATATTTGACCCGCTGTACACCGCGATTAAATATTTTTTATATGATGGGACGAGTTTAGGTCGATATTAATACGAGACGGTATATCACGGGTGAAATCCTACAATTAACATTCAAATACAATTATACAATCTTATATACTAAAGAAATACATACAACTTAAAATTTTAAAAATTAGTTACAAAAAACTGATCCGCAGTATACAACAAAAAATAAAATACACAACAAATTCTTCAATTTATAAAAAATTAAAAAAACAAATAATTAACCCGCGGTGTACCGCGGGTCATATCCTAGTAGTTACATTAAATCTCCTATTTTCACGTATCAATTATTCATTAATTCTCTACTCTCACAAATAGCATAACAAAATATACTTTAAGATACTAATAAAATTATTTCTTAGCAAACAGATTACAGTATATCTATTATATTAAAGCGGCAGCACAAAGGAGATTTTAACGTATGGTTTAAAAAAAAATTCTACAAATGCCATTACTATAGAGGGTGTGTATCCAAACAGAATTAAAAAAAAAAAAAACTTCAAACAGGATACAGTCTGTTCGGATCGCGGTTTACATATCCGGATCAAGGATTGCCACATGTAATTGACAGATTGGCTATCGTTTTCTTCTGCGAAAAAATTAAAAAAAAAATAATCAATTAAACATATCTAATATGGAAATCAGAATAAAATATATCTCCCTAATAACTAGTATTTGCCATAACTAATATAATTAAAAAAACTTGAATTTGAAATTCTGTTTGTAGAAACCGTGATTAATGCGATATACAAATCTACAAACTTACCAAACATAAAATCGTGACCAATTAAGATAAATTAATTAGATTTCTTTTTTTTTTTTGACATCTTTAGATCGATAAGGCCCGATAAAAGTTTAAAACGTTAATAATAGTTAAACTTTTATGCAAAGTTGAAAATATCAATAATATTAAAACTTTATAAACATTAAATTTTAATAATATTTAAACTCTGTAAAAGGTTTCAATCTTATTAATATTTAATGTTTATAAAAATTTTAAAATAAATATATACTATTTAGGGTTTATAAAAATTTAAAATATTACGAATATTTAAACTCTATAAATTTTTATAATATTATTAATATTTAAGGTTTATAAAAAAAATTAAAATAGATATATTACTTATTGGAAGTACTATAAATCAAAAGACTTTAATGGTGTAAACAAATCTATATATATAATGGGAGAGTTGTCTCTCTATCTAGAGTGTCCACATCATCATCATCCAAGTAATCCTATTTTAATTTTGTGTGGGCTCCACATATTTTAGTAAAACAAAAAATTAAAACTATAATTAATTTATATTTTGTAATTTATATTATTATATTTCATTAAACAAAAAAATTACAATAGAATAAAGGGAGACTCACAAAAATGCCCCTTTTTTAATACCCCTTTTCAAAAATGCCCCCTTTGGATGTCCATTTTTAAAAATACCCCTTTTATGTACAAAATGACTAAATTACCCTTCTTTTAATAAAAGATATCATAAATATATAAGGAAAATATAACAAAATTAGGTCCACAAAATACAAAATATTTTTTGGCGGGAAAAGTGATCCCCCAATTTTTCCCGCCAAAACACTTGTAAAAATTTGTAAAACCTTTAAAATACCTTGTAAAATTTTCCCGTAAAATTTTTTCCCGCCAAAAAATTTTCCCGCCAAAAAATTTTTTTTGCGGGAAAAGTGATTCCGCAATTTTTTTGGCGTTAAATTTTTGGCGGGAAAATTTTTCCCGCCAAAAATTTACAAGGTATTTTAAAGGTTTTTTACAAGGTATTTATAAGGTTTTACAATGTATTTTAAAAGGTTTTACAACGTATTTACAAGGTATTTATAAGATATTATAAGATTTTACAAGCTATTTTATAAGGTTTTTACAAGTTATAAGGTTTTACAAGTTTTTTATAAGGTTTTACAAGTTATAAATACCTTATAAAACCTTAAAAGTACATTGTAAACCTTTTAAATACATTGTAAAACCTA